GAAGTTTTTTTTTTTTTTTTTTTTTTTTGGGTTGAGTATTTCTTATATGTATTTAATTTGTTTGCTCGTTGTGTAGTTTCTTTATAGATAGATTTACAAGTTACTGCATAATATCATATGTTATTTGCTCAGTGGTGTTCTAAAGTTTCACTATTGAACTCTCGTAAAGAATTATTGATATTTATGCTTTGTCTAATGGAATGAGCAAGTTAATTACATAGATAATAGAATCCAATAAAAAAAGCAAAAGAAAAAAACTTTAGCTCATTCCTTGCGTTTTCTTACGCCAAATTGTTTGTTTAGTCGTTTCCAGATGCTATTGTTACTTACATTGCTACTTTGCATTGCAAAGAAAGAAATAGATATCGAAGCAAATATTCAGCTTACGTTAAGGAATTGATGGTTCATCTTTTTTATATTTGAACCAGAATGTGTTAAACTAATTCTTTTTAATTCTTTGTCTTTTTTCCCTAGCATCATTTTGGAATCATATTTTTTCATGATTATTATAAGTGACGCAAATGCTATATCTTGCTTCAAATAAAGGACTAATGATAAAATAAATATAAGTTCCTTTGATGCTTCAATAGATGCAACTCAAAATTTGCATGATATAAATTATAATAACTATTGCAATATTCCTCAAACAATTTAGTTATAGAAAAGATATTTATATTGAAGATACCATATTTATCCTTCAAGTATATTGTGTCATAGTTAATATTTTGCATATCTTAGATTCTACATATGTATAAGTTTTGGTTGCAATTTCAGTTAATGTCAATTATACGTTTTTGGTTTCTTTTACGAAGTACTTTTCTTCTAAAATCCGAATACCTTATAAAATCAAATTACATAATACATATTATTAGCTTTAGGTGATTTTAAATGGTTGTATAAAAACTTCTTTCAATATTTTACTTAATTAATGATAAATTAGTCATTATCTATTGTTAACTTTAGCTTATTGTTAATTCTTCTTGTAAAAATTGATTTACTTACATAAGTTAGTTGTTCTCTACCATTACATATTTTTACTAACTAATTTATTCTATATATATATATATATATATATATATATATATATATATATATATATATATATATATATATATATATATATATATATATATATATATATATATATATATATATATATATATATATATATATATATATATATATATATATATATATATATATATATATATATATATATATATATATATATATATATATATATATATATATATATATATATATATATAAACTTTATAACTAAACTGGTTACAAATGCAGGTGCTACCTTAGTGAAGAAGAAATAAATTTAAAAAAGATTTGTCTTTATTTTTTATCATCTTCTATTACAATCATATTTAATAATTTAATAATTTATTCTTCATCTATTTAAAGTTATTATTAGATTTTTTCATCTCTTTCTTATGTTCATCTTCTCCTTCAGGTTTATTGTTACCTTCAATTACACTACATTTAAAGTCTGATTTCTTCTTTTCTTGTTGCCAGGTAATGTGCAGTCTTATCTTTTAATTTTCCCCCTTCATGTTAGATTTTTACACCTTAAATTTTATAGCTATATCCGTTTTACAGAAAACAGACTATGTAAGTTACTTATATAATTCTCGCTTTGTTAATTAGTTTCTTATTGTTCTAAGGTTTATTAATTTAGTACATTCACAGTTCCTTATTAATTTCTATCCTTAACTTAATTTTTATATGTATTTTCTTTTTACAATATATTAACTTCTATTCTTAACTTAATTTCTTAATTTAGTACATTCACACTTTGGAATACGTACAAATTTGGGTTAGGGAAAAAAGTTAGTTTACTTTCAACCTAAAAGTGACTATATACATTGTGTGGGATGGATCTTTGATATTAGACTTACACCTCTAAGTACAACTTTTTTTTAACTATTTGTCTTTCTGGGTACATAACTATTTATTACCGAAAGCTTGTTAATTTTTCACAGGTGATCAAATTTTATCTTATAATTTCAAGTAGTTTGATGGTGAAGTGTAAAAATAAATTTAAATAAGAAGTGAATGCATTTTTAATAGATCTTAGAAGATAAGTAAATTTTTTAAATTATTCTAGCTTGTCTTTATTTGTCCTTACCAATTATCTTCGGACCAAAAATATGATAATGTTGATTGACAAGCCACCGCCACCGTCATCGCCGCCGCCACTGTCGCCACCACAGAGTATTTTCGACTACAACATCTAAGAACAATTCATTTTCCATGGAATCCAAAGCCTTCCTCTCACCCAATTTTAGGGGGGAAAAATGTAAATCGTTTCTTAGTATTTTGTTTTTGGTCAATTGTTGATATTATGAGAGAAGTGGAAGAAAAAATTAACTTCACTTGAGATTCATTGTTCTTGAATTTTAATTTAATGTAATTTTAGTTCCTTTGTTTTTTGGGGTTTCAAATGATTAATTGGTTATGGTTCATCTTGATTACTCAATTCTTGAAAGAAAGTGGATTAATTATGTTTAGAGGCAGTATATATAGTAATGGGTATGCAAGATTTTAAGGTATTTGAGTGTGTAGGAATTTTAGGTATTAACAGTTGTAGAATTAATGAATTATTGCTCGATTCTACTCTGTAATGGCTAAATTAAAGTTTGATTTCTTTGGTTTCGAAAATCATTCTATTGTGAGTATGCTAGAGTCTCTGTTAGTCTATTTAACAATATCAATAATGTCTTGTTAAATGTGAGTATCTTAAACTTCAAAATAAATAGCTGAGAAATTTGTTTGATGAAATTACTTTATTGGTACAATGTCTAATTGATTTTTCTAAATTCTTTGGTACAAATAGCCATTTGTAAGTTCACATCTCCTTTGTAGGGATAAACACATTTAGGTCACATGGGTAACTAATGATAAATATTTACATTTTATTACTGAGTATGGCATGGATCAGATATCTAGATGTACAAAGGGCTATGGATTTGTGAGATCTAGTGATAAAGCAAACAACTACGAGCCATGGCTAAGATGACTGAAAGGTATTGTAGTTGACTAAAGCTTGATGAATTCGATTTTTTTTGTATGACAAGATATGATTCCTAAATCTGGTCGTTTAAATGCATTGATGACTTTTTATTTTAGAGACATTTTCAAGATTTGACTTTTGTTGAACAATAGCGTTTAAATTTGCTTCCTTTCAGTTATGCTCTTGAATCCTTGAAAATAACCACAGTTTGTGATGTTATTTCTTTCGAGTACTTTAAACCTGTTAAAAAATAATAGCCTTTGTTCAATCAATGCACGTATCTCCCGTCAATACTTATACATTGAATACACTAACATTAGCTTTAAAATGTCCAAGGCCGTGCATTACACGGGCAAAGACTAGTATTAACTAAAGTTTTTGGTTGCATAGAGTCTCTGCTTTACAAAGCAATTCATCTTTACTGCATGTTGATGGTCTCCCATAGTAAAGATTGACGCTGGAAAACGATTTAAAAACAAAACCGGGTTGTAAAACAGCGCCAGTGAAAATGAGAAGAAGCTACAGATATACAAGAATCTTCAAAAGCTGCATCTACTCATCTCATGGTCTTGGACGTATTCCTAGTCGGTTCCTTATATTTGTACCAGCAAGCTTCATGTCTTCGACCTACAAATTTTAAAGAAGGGTGTGGTTACGCAATAAAAAAACTCCCCGAGAAAAATCAAATATAGTTACTTATAATTGCAAGGCAAGTTGAAGCTAAATGAGAAGAAAATTTCATCCAAGATGATGCTTGCTCCTATACATAATTGCTAATCTCTCATATATTCTACAATTTTTTTTAACTGATAATAAGATCACTTGAAATTATCGTGAGAAAATATATAGACAGCTGATGCTACCATTTCAGACGGAGAAAAGATAGGAGCAAGGCTGGTGTTTCTCTCTTTTCTTTCTTTATTTTTTTTTCATTGTCATTATTGAGCATATTTCTGTTGAATGCTAAATCATTCAAATTTTACTACCTAAAAAGGATTGGTAGCTATAGAATTTCTCCTTGTCTATTTATTTAGTTTACAAATTATGATCACTCAATTAAATTTCTGTAGAATGGTTGAGTGAACTGAAGTGGTTAATACCGTTTGTCATGTGAAATACAGGACAATGAGTAGTTTTTACTAAAGGATGAGCGTACTTAGATGTTTGTAACGAAATTTTATATGCCCAACTCCAGCCATATAGAAGCTAGTTTGTGTGAAATCCGCTTGTCCAGATTTGGTGGAGCCATACCAGAGTGAATCTGGTTTTATTTATTCCTTATTTAATTCTTTTGTATGACAGAAAATGAAGAATTCTTTTGGTTTTTTGGTAAATTCCAAATTTTTATTATAAAAAAAATGACGATAGTATCCCATAACTCAAGTCCTATGAATTCAGCAGAACAGAGCAGCAGAGAAATTTGGAAATGAGGAAGAGTTCAGACACCAAAACAGAAGAAACTCAATCTAAATAGACATCTTCTCATTACGGTAAAGTTCATGATTACCAAACTCTTCATTAGGTTTCAGATATAAACTTAAAATGTTCGACTTAATGATGCAATTTACAACACCATAGATCAATATGCAAACAGTTATAGCATTTCCATACTTGGTTAATATTATGTGCAGCATTTCCATACTTGGTTAATATTATGTGCACATAATTGAAACTCTACTAGCATCATTTTCCAAAATTTCAATTTCATAAAGACCTTTCCTGGAACTAACCCTAAAAAAAAAAAAAATTTCAGCTCACCTTGGCCAAAACAGCAACCTGGCAATGGTAGAGCACCAACCACCCCCTCCCTCCCTCATCCAAAACCACCATAAACTAAGTTTTATTAGCAATAGATCTGAAGACAGCAGCTTCAGATCCCATTTCGCAACTCCAATCAGTCAAACACTACATCTATCTAAAGATCTAAAGAAATCAAAATCCTTTGTGATCAAGACAACCCAAGTTAATTTAGTCCATTTCTGCTTCTCTAACAAATTTATTTAGTCTATTGTGAAATGCTGCTACAAGTTAGCCAATACATACTCTAATCTATTATATGATACATAAAACTCAATTCTCTCTGAAGTTAGATCTTTATACTATCCAGTAGATGTATAAAGTAAGAGCATCCGTATTTGGGATGATTACCTCGGACTCAGCATTCCATGATCTCTTCTTAAAATAGCCTCTATATGTTATCAGAAATCATATACTGATTCAAAAGATGTCAAATTCTAAGGACTTAACAACTTTTAAATCACCAAATTATAAGTTGAACTATATAATCGAACCCAAAAAGTTACTAGTTTTTCAATTGAATGACAGCAGAAATTAAACTTTAAAGGTTTTCCCTTTGATAATCCATTCCTAAAGAATTTGCACTACTAATCATTGCAAGTGTAATTTTGCAAAAATAAAAGTAACCAATTCCAACTGCTAGATAAGCAGCCAAAATAACTCTTTATATAATGCAAAATAATCATAGATTAGTTATTACTGCATCTATGAAATCATACCAACGTAACAATAATAATCGTTTCTTTTCAGACAAATTTCTCTCAAGAGTTAAACTTCTATTAATGAATGTATAAAGAGCAAGAGTACAGAGTACAGAGTACATACGGATTTGATACCAGAGGCGCGAAGGGAGGCAACGGCGGCGGTGGCGGTGGCACCAATAAAGAGGGAAGCGACAGCAAAGGCTTTAAAGGGCATGAGACGACAGTCGCCGGCGTAGCCTTTTCTATAAATGGAAACCGCCCAGGTTAATTGGCCCGTGCTTGCGGTGGCCCACCACCAGTACTCCGCTACACCACTGACAACGCCACCGCCTACGGGGATTTCCTGTTTTTCCTCCATTTTTCAGTTCAGTTCCATCCAAATCCAATGCTTGATCTGGACGGTGAAAAGGTCGCCGTACTGGGCTTCTGGGGGATGAATGAGAATATTGGACTTTTGTAAAGTCTCAGAGGCCCTTGGGCCAATAAATTTTATGTTTTAGGGATTTTTTTTCCTGTTTTAATTTAAGGTAGTGCTATATGTACATAATTATTTACATAATGGTGTTCATAATTACACGTGACATTGGATTCAACATTTAATTCAATTATTACATTTGCACATCAACAACCGGATGATTGACACATCAAATTATGGATACCATTATGTGCAATAATTATGTACAAGTAGAATTTTCCTTTAATTTATTGTAAAAATATTTCAGCAATTCGAGCAAACATATTTAGCCCCAGTTCGATAAAGATTAAAATTCAAATTTTAATCTAAATTAAAGCAAACAATGAATTTTCATAATATTTCAAGGGATCCACATCTTTTCAACCACATATTTTATCAACTTTTATCAAAATCTACTCAAAATTTAATTTTAATATCCATCAAATCAAATTTTAATCCAAGTTAAAGCCAACAATGAATTTTAATAATATTTCAAGGGATCCAGAGCTTTTCAATCACATATTTTATCAACTTTTATCAAAATCTACTAAAAATTTAATTTTAATATCCATCAAATAGATGTTTAACACAGTACAACACTTTTCATATGTGTTTGGTACACTATAACACCGTACACATTATCGTTTCGTACACGAGTTTATAAATATGCCTTAAAAAAATTCTCATATTAAATTCCCAATTCATTATAGGAAATACACATTAACTCGAGTGTAAGACATTTACTTTTAAGAAGGAACATCATAAAACAAAAGGTTTTATATTTGTTATTAGTTGGTTCAATAAGGCCACATATATATGAGTTTAAAATCTTGTTGATTTCGTCGATTTTGAAAAGTTTTTAAATGACTAGACTAAAGAATGATATCAATATTAGACATTTTCAATTTACTAATCATATTAGTACAAGTTCTAATGCTTTTACCATTGGCTTCATTTGTACATTAAATTGAATTTAATTTTGAACTTTTATTAACGATATCTAACATGTTAGGTTAGGATATAATAACATTAATGTAAAATGTTGGCCGTAAATGTAGCAGCTGCGGGTTCTCCCTTCATTAAAAAAAAAAAAAAAAAAAGTTATGTGCCTAAGGATTTATTATGCTGACCCCTCTCGAGCACCAAGCAAGATTTTCAAGCCAATAATCCCACAAGTCTCCAAACATAATCCTTGGCCTCTATCAGACTCTAAAAGATCGAACACCTTAGTAATGCCACTTATTCAATTGTTCCAATACAGTTCACCTTAATTTTTAGTTACATCAACAACGGTTAGGGATGTCAATTGGGCCGAGTCGGCTCGGCTCATCAAAGCTCGGCTCGTGGGTTGCTCGGGCTCGTCAAATGACGAGCCCGAGCTCGAGCCGAGTGGGGGGTCCCATCCAACAAGCCGAGTGGGATCGGCTCGTCCAAAAATGTCGAAAAAAAATTTTTTATCAATAAAATTTGAAAAATTTGCAAAAAAAAAAAAAAAAAAAAAAAAATACGAGCTCGCAAGCGGCTCGTGGGCTCGCCCACGAGCAACGAGCCGAGCCGCCATCCCTAGTTAAGTTTCTCTATTGACAATTGTTGTGTTGTTCATTGCTTTTATATTATAAACTGTGGCAGTTCAACATAAGATAATTTGACTTGCTTGATTAACCATCTAAAAATAATTAAAAAGTGACTTGTTACTTTTAATTGATAATTTTAATTTCGTGGTTCGAGCCGCTCATGGGCTCGGAGCGGCTCGGCCCACGAGCTCATGGCTCGTGAGTACACGAGCTCGTGGGTTAACGAGCTGAGCTGAACCACTGCCATCCCTAATGACGGTTGCAAAACCATGGCAAGCCTCACCAACCTCCACAATCTTAAAATGTACCGAGCCAAGCAAATGAAAAGTTCGTGAAATCAAATACTTGATCAAAATTCTCTCCCAGCAAAACGGTAAGACCTAATTTTAGTATCGTCAGCCATTCCGGCCACCACATCCCCTTCTTAGTCGTGGCCAAGCAGGCTACAGAAAATGAAGTATTCTCAATTTGAAGTGTCGCGTCCCAGAGAACTTTTGGCGCTGACATACCATTTACTCAACTTAGCAGTAGGAAATTTGAATAAATCTCGTTTCTTTGCCTAAACAACTCAGGTACAATATTTCAAAAAAATAGAAACCAGGAATCAGAGGGACTGAATCTTTATTTGCAAATGCAACCATGAAAGGATATTGTAACTGAAACCAACTTCTCAACTGTCACCCATTGAGCACTATTCATCTGTTAACTAGTATGGCTAAGTCTTAAATATTACCCCCATAACTTCGCTATGCTCCTATCCTTCAACTAACATTAAGCTGCACATTTTGTTGCCTGTTGGAATGTGTTTTGAGGGCAAACCACTATAAATCTCCCTATTTTTGCTTGAAGTTCCTGTTCTCTTTCATTCATCATACCTTTGAAATTGGGATACGGGTTTAATATATAACAACTTCTACGATATGGAGTATAGTAATCTCTCTATTTCTGCCGGGTGTTCCTGTTTTCTTTCATTCATTATACTTTTGAAATTGGGGTACAGCTTTAGGAGACCAATATAAAACCTGCTAACCAAAAATGTTCATAGTTAAGTATAGGTTAAACGGGAGGTCTAAATTTTTCGTTCAAGAGCAACTAACCATATGTAACTCAATCTGAAGAAGAAAACGAGACCCCCAGTCAAAAAGCTTTTTGGAAAATTCCACCGGGCAGACTGTAATGAATTACTTTGATTGACTCAATACAATAAAGCTAAAAGAAAAGGAAAACTGCAGTTCATACTTGCGTGGCACCCAATTATTTTGCAACTGAACAAACCAACATCCACCATAGAATGATTGTTCACACAAAGAACTTCACAAACATGAAACTTCAAAAAAACACATATATATCAAACCTGGAACACACTTATATTACTAACATCAAATTAATCGATTAACTTCAACCGCAGCAATCCATTACACATAGAAGACATGATTCATGTATGATATGATTAGTATGCAGAGAATCAACAGTTATGTTGTTCCAACTCTTCACACAATTTACAGTGTTCAGAATTATCTTGGCCACAGTAGTTGAATATGTACTAAACAAATACTAATACCCTAAGAAAGCTTATGGACATACAAAAATACGAGTGCTTTCATCATGTCTCACGGATCAGATACCAATAACATATACATTTCTCAAAACTGCGAATCGAGAGCTTTATAATCAACTAAACTGTGTCCCAGATATTTGGAATCCCAGAAAAACATTCTTGATCTTCCAAACACAAGGAAACAAGTAAAAAAAACCTTCAATGGGAAAAGAAAGTACTGCAGTCTACATGCGAAATTGAAACTCCTAAAATTAGGAAAATCCATATTTAAATGAGCTACTTATAAATCAAAACAAAAATTCTATTATTCCTTCTTTGTCAAAAGCATGAAAAAAAAAATGGAAAGAGAAGGGAACATGAACCCAAAAAGTACTTATTCTTCCTTTCACCTTTACAAATTATGTCAGATTCTACCTTCAAATGCCATCACATAATTTGGAAGTCAAGCACCTTAAAAATTCCAAAATCATTTGTCCATGATCACATCTAACCCTGTAAACAACATGATATTATTGGTCGTTAAACAGTAAAACCACATTTCAATAAACTGAATACAAACAACTGCACAAATCAAGATCACACCTTTGGAGGATTTTCATAGACCTTGTACGAATCAGGAGTAATTGATGACAACCATAACCCAGGGAACAGATTCTGCAGCACATAAAACTGAATTAGTATATCGAACAATTCCATTTATTAAAACGTAAATAGAAAACAAGAAATATACTAATTGTAAAACGAAAACAATAATAATAAATCAAAGATCGGACAATTTCTTACATCAAGTTGTTTCTGAATTGTTTTCGCTCTCTTCTTAGGCCTCCTTGCAGGCTTTGATCCAGTCATGACGAAAATATCCTCCTCAATATCCTCTTTTAATAGCTCAATCGAAAATTTCATTTTCCTCTTCTCCTTCTTTTCTGCAGTACTACCACCAAGTAATTCACTCTCTCGTGATCTATTATTGAAATTCCTAGATGGCGATTGAGCTTTGTTATCGTACATCCCGGACCCATTATATTTACCTGCAACTCCATTCACATTCAGGGATTTCCTTGTCAGCTTTCGAGGTCTCAAATTCCAAGTCTTGGGTTCATCATCATCATCATTGTTTATTTTCCCGTCTTCATGAGCATCCTGGTCATCGTTAAGGAGTCTGTGGGCCTCCACTTGGGGATTTTCCTCTGGTTTATTCATGTAGGGGATTTTTATCAAAATTTTAGATCTCTTCTGTTTATTCCCAGCCTCATCAGCTTCTGTTGCCCGTAATTTTTTCTTTGATTTCTCTACAACCCAATCAGAATTCCGTGAATAAATTCCATTTTTTGTGCTCTGAGATGCCAAATTCCTCGAATCATTCCTCCGATACTCGATCAAAGCACCATTACTCTTCATTGGAGGCCCGGATTCTGAAGCTATATCATGCTTCGAAAACTGCGTTACTGTGTCACCGCGATTAGGAGACTGCTTCACCGAGTCACCCCGGAGCGCGAACTGTTTCATCGAGTCACCGCGTACAGGAGACTTCAGTATGTCACCTCTATTCGGCGATTGTTTCGCCAAATCAGTGATCCCAAATCGTTTAGACGATTCACCGCGCATTGACGATTTAACATGAATAGGAGTTTGCGCAGAACCGTGTAAAAAAGATTGTCGAGGTGGCGGCGGCGGAACTAAAACCGAATCCCGTAATGGCGAATTGATCATTGATTCACGGAGAGGAGAAACGGAGGAGGGATGGCTCTTCCGTGATGGCAATTTGGCGGTTGTGGAGCGGCGGAGATGGTGGTTGTCAGGGTGTTTGTCCTTCTTATATGTCAATTGCGTCAACGAGAAACCATGCAACTGAGACTTCGCCGGAACTGTAGAAGCCATACCAATATGATATCACTTCTCTTCAACAAAAATTCAAAAATCCAAAAAGAAAAATCGATCTGAAGAAACTTTGATCACCAGTCTAATAGTATCCCATAAAAATTATTTAATTACTAATCGTTTTCGGAGCTTCATCGTCAGAAGCAATATTTTATATAGATTATACATACGTGTGCGTCAAGATTGTACAGAAAGAGGTGGAAGCGTGGAGTCGCAGAGGAAAACTGATATAATAACCTGCATAGACCCGGCCCGGATCGACGGAGGAGTTCAAGTGAATTTCTCTTCGCTCTCGGGGTATTTTTGGTATTACATATATCTTTAAGAATAGATTATAATTTCTTTTTGAAATAAGGTAATGCTATGATGTCTATAACGGTATCCACCTCTCACATGAAGGGAATTCACTTCCAATAAATTATATTTTTTTCAAAGTGGGTTCCCTTCATGTGAGGATGTGAACACTATTATGGACACGATATTATACACAAGTAGCATATTTCTTTAATATATGTGAGTTCGATGGGCGTTGTTGGGTATCAAAATGTATCGAGTTAGACTTGAGATAATCCTTACAGTATTGCCTCACCCTTTTGGGTAGGTTAAATTACTAAAAGTAACATGTTAAACAACTCGATGAATATATTTATTTATAACAAGCAATAATAAAGCGAGTCGTAAATTTAGCTATACGAATTACTCTTCTTCGCGGCATTTTGATCAATATAAATCACATTGTCAACTACCTTTGAGAAAAATCCTAGCTCAAATTGAGCCAAAGTTTTGAGGCGTATGACTTTCGCGTTAGCCAGCCTACTTAGACCTAAAATTGGACCATGTCTGGATTTCAATATAATCTCTTTATATTTTGCTTGTAATACTTCATAGACATAATCATGGCCTTGGCGGAAGGATTGGGCTAAAGCACAACATTGCCTTCCTCTCCCTACGCTCATGATCATGAGGTCATGTCGTGTCATGTTGTACAAAAGAGTGTTCAGAGAAAAATATGAAGACAAGAAAACAATACAAAATTTTGTGTTTGAAACTCTGAAACTGAAGAAAAATAATTAGTCGTCGAAGACAACGAAAAATAATCAGCACAAAAGGTTCTCATCATTTATACTCATTGCGAAATCGTCTTTATCGTTTTAAATTTGGTATTTGCACTCTTATTTTAATATTTTCTTGCAGAGTTAGTTCATTCTATCAATTCCGTTAATTCGTTATTATGGGTATTTGGCACAAATCGTCTATATCGTTTCAATTTTAATATTTTGACCCTCAAATCAACCTTTCTTTGAGCAGAAAGTTCTTACTCTTTATTTTCTCCATTAAAATATTATAAAACGATTAATTTACCACCCTCTTTAAATAAACAAATAGAAAGTAAGAAAGAATATTGAAAAACATATTAGTAACATGCATACTTGGTTTGACTACACCTATATATTCCATTAATAAATTATTTTTTTCCCAAGCAAATAATACCTACACGAAGGGAGGCAAATATAGTTTGAGGGTAGTATCTATGATACTATTGGGCTGTGATGCCAATTGATTTATTGGTCCAATCCAATTGGACAATGATGAAAGTATTAAACCCAACAAATACTACTAAATCATTGCCCAATAACGCAATGTGGAGTGGGCTAAGACCCAGCCCAAGACTTATGAAACATGTGCGTTGTTGTGGACCCTTTGATCTTCTAACCTAAAATCAACCGTGATAACACATTAATATATAGGGTCTGAGAGATATTTTTCATATTATTGTGACTCTTCGTATGGTCTTGAGTGTGGAAGTTTCTGGGTCTCTCTCTTTCGAGACTTTGTGTCTCTTTCCTTTCTTCTTCTTCGTGATGCTTGTAATCCAACCTAAAACCTTTGGTTTTTCTTGTGAATCTTTGTGTGTTGACTCTCTGTGATTCTTCGTTCTTAGTTTGGAAGGATATTTTTGAGTTCTTGGAGAGATCTGGATCCATCGAGTAGTTGCCTTCATTTTTCTTGTTTCTGGTTGTGGTTTGTGAACCTTCACATTGTATAAGATGGGTACAATGTTTTGTTCTGAGCTCAAATCATTGAAAACTTGGTGCCTTTGTGTTGTTTGTGTTCTGAGATTTTAAAGTCAATTTTTGGGTCTTGATTTGTAACAGTGGTATCAGAGCCTTATAGGCTGTTGGAGTCTCGATCTTCGAGTTCCAGTTGTGGAAAATCAATTTTCATGACCAGATCTTGTAAGATCTGACAAGTGGTGGAAACCTTAGATTCAATTGTTAAGGGATCTTGGTTGGGTTCTTTTTTTTTTCTTTTTTTTTTTTTAATACATATTGGTTTTTCAGACATTTGTTGTTGGTGAATCTTACAGGAATAAGCTGGATTTCGATTTTTCTTGGTGAAACTGTTGTGAAAATTCTTGGGAATTTTGAGTAACACTCAAATCTGGCAGTCGAAATCTCTAACCTTCTTCTATTTGTACTTGTGATATATTTTTTTATAATTGTGTGTATTGAAACTGAGTATATCCTTCTTCTTTGTTGAAGTGTTCAGCATGTTTTTCTAGTCTTTGTGATTGATTATTGATCCATTGTCTTTAATTTCATAAACCTTCTCCCGCACCACTGTGTACTTGAACTAAGCCTTGACCATAGGTTTTTGAGCTTCACGGAATCCTGGTAAATTCAAGAAACATTATAATTTCTTGAAGTGATTCTTTATTCTCTAAATTGGTTACCTTTTTTTTTTTGGCTACGTTTTCACATTATTATATCATTCGATATTCATATTGTGTGTGATACTTTTATGTTGTTCTACACTCTGTGAAATATCTGCTTTTCTTCTGGCTGAACTTTAACAATCAAATATTTTCTCGTGTTGATAAAAAACTTCAAATGACAATGGCAACATTTGAACTTTGGAGTTTTTAATAAAAAAGGGGATTCCCCATTTGGCAACAAAAAATGAGGGGTGATCTTGTTCAACAGAAGGTGTCTTAAGGCTATAAACTTGTGAATATCATGCTACTATGTCTGATGAACAAAAAATTGAATCTGATGAACTTGCCTATACTTCCATTATTCTGCACTTATCTGATCAAGTATTAAGAAAGGTAGGTAAGTTAGATAATGCTAAAGCCTTATGGGAGAAATTGGAAGAACTTTATTTAGTTAAGTCATTGCCTAATAATTTTTTTCTTTTGCAAAGATTCTTTAGTTTCAAGATTGACTTATCCCGAGATTTAGATGATAATCTTGACATTTTTAATAAGCTAGTACAAGATATTACTAATGTTGGGGATAAAGTATCTGAAGAATATAAGGTTGTTATTCTCCTAAAGTCCATACTTGAAGTTTATAAAGATGTTAAGACTATTATTAAGTATGACAGAGAGACTCTAACTCCAGAGATAGTTGTTAATGCTTTAAGAAATAAAAGAATTGGAAGTAAAATCCGAGAGGCATGGCGAGGAGGGTGAGAACTTGTTTGTGAGATGTAGGTCACTAACCAAACAAAGTAGTAACTAGAGTAACCAAAATAGTCAGGGAAATAATGCCTTCAAGAAGAAGGGGAAGGCCGGACAAAGGTCAAAGTCCAGAAATGGAAATAGGAAGTGCTATGGGTGTAGCAGGACAAGACGCTACATTAAAGATTGTTTTAAAAGAAAAAAAATGAACAAAAAGAGGTTAAAATAGATGAAGGCAATGTAGTTGAGCCTCTAGGTGAAGAGACAGTAGATGTCTACGTTGTGACTGAGTCCACATCTGATTTGAATATTGCAAATTATGCAAATAATTCTTGTCAGAGTGTAGAATGGATTTTAAATTCAGGTTGCACCTTTCATATGACCTTTAGAAGACATTGGTTGATAGATTTTAAGGATCTTGATGGAGTTGAGGTGGTTATGGGTAATAATGCAGCTTGTAGAGTGTTAGGAATAGGTGGTATAACTTTAAAATTTGATAATGGGTACACCTTTGCCTTGGAAAGAGTGAAGTATGTATCAGATTCAAATAGAAATTTAATTTTAATTGGAAACTTAGATGACATAGGTCTCTAAGGAAAATTTGGAGATGGTTTCTTGAAAGGATCCTCAATTGTTTTCAAAGGAACTAAAAGAAATGGAATCTATGTCACTAAAGCTAATGTTTTAAGTTATACTGTAGAATCATCTATGGCTGAGAATGATGCAACCTTGAAATGGCATAATAGATTGACACATGTGAGTGTGAAAGGCTTACATATCTTAAATCAAAATGGGGCCTTTGGTATTGAGATGATTTCTAACATTCCATTTTGTGAATATTGTACTTTAGGCAAACAAAATAGACGCTAATTTAATACTGGGAAACATAAAACTACATCTATCCTGGAATATATACATTCTGATTTGTGGGATCCATCATCCACCAGCTCTTAAGGTGGCAATAGGTATTATTTTATCCTTAATTGATGATTTTTCAAGAAAGTGTGGGTATCTCTTTTAAAGCAAAAATCAGATACCTTTGATAAATTCAAAACCTGGAAGACTTTGATTAGAAATCAAATGGATAAAAAGATTAAAATTATAAGAACTGATAATGAGTTAGAATTTTGCAATGCTAATTTTGCATTATGGGATTTTAGACATAAAACAGTACCACATACCCCACAACAGAATGGTATAGTTGAGAGGATGAACATGACAATTTTAGATAAGATTAGATGTATGATGTTCAATTCAGGTATTTCTTGAAGCTCATCCTCTTCATCATAAATGATCAGCTTGCCCCGAAATGACCCTAAAGTGTTGTGAAGGGAGACTGTTAGGATAGTTGTTTATATAATAAATAAAACCTCAACTAGTTCTTTAGTTGGTAGAACACTTGAGGAAGTGTGGACAGGTAGGTTGGTAGATTATACACACTTAAAGACCTTTGGTTGTGCAGCTTATGCACACTAAAGTGTAGGAAATCTCGAGCCAAGATCCTAGAATTGCGTTTTCATGGGATACCCAGAATGAGTGAAAGGGTACGAGCTTTAGGTGAAAGAGATTAGGGATTTTAAGATGATAATCAGTAGGAATGTTACCTTTAATGAATCTGAGATGCATTGTTTAAACAAAATGACCTCTAGTGATGTGCCTAAGGGTCAGAAAGAAGAGAAAACTAGGTTGCTGGTAGAACTTGAACCCTCACCTGAACCTATTAAAAATCAAGAAGAAATGAAACTTTTGAAGAATTAGGTGAGGATAGTGTTCAAGTGTCTACTGATGAGTTAGT